GAGGGACCCCAGATGGAGCTTTGGGTGTTGGGGCTGGAGCAGTGCGAGGCCAAAACGGCTCCAGAGAGCATCGTCCCCCCCTCGGGAAGGTGTTTTGTCTGGTTTGGGTGTGAGGTCCGCGGAACAGCAGCCCTGTGACAGGGAGCAGCGCGTGTGGCGGCCGGGGGCGCGGCGGCCCCCACCAGCTCGGTTCGGGGCTGGCGGTTGCCCTGCCTGCAGCCCCTGGCTCAGGGCCTGCCCCACCGCGCTGCGTTCCCCGGGGTGCTGTTCCAGGACATGCATCGCTCTTTTCCTGGCTTTTTCCCCCATTTTCCCCGGAACAGGACAGGGCGCTGGGCACATCTCGCTGCAGCACCCGGTTGTGTGCAGGTCTGTAGACGGATGCTCCGCACCGACGGAGTTTGATGGGCTTTGCAGACTGCCGTTTCATTGCAGACGTTAGTATGAAGCTCCCCACTCCAATTCTGGCAAGATGCGTCCCCGCTGCATTCACCTGCTTCGTACGAGTGAAATAACTATTGCCAGAATTAATTTTCCGAGGAGCGAGTCCCCTGGCAACGGGCGCCTCGGGTGTGCTGGAGCAGTCTGAAGCAGAGCATTGCCGGTACGAGGCAGAGTTTGAGAGCAGTGGGGCAGGGCTGAGACCTGCAGGGGTGTGGGAGCCCTCAGAGCAGCCAGCTGAATTCACTGGGACCCCCCAGTTAAGTAATTTGACCCCTCAGCAAAGTAATTCCTAAGTACCGCTTAGGAGTCTTTGGGCCGAAGGACCCAGCTCTGGTTGTGAGCGAACGGCAGCAAATCAGGATTTATGGCTGATATCAGATTTCTGAGCTGAAATACACTGGATTGGTGATAAAAGGGCGTGTATGTAGGCTGGACCGGCCGTGGCCGTTGGGAGAGGCAGTTTGTGGCTAGACCTGGAAATAGCGTGACAAAATCTGCCTCCGTCCCTGGGGGTCATGGGGAGGAGAACTGCAAATCCTGGTGTCGTGGCTGGGGTTGGCTTCAGCTAATCTGAGATGGAGGCTGAATGAAATGCAAACAAACAGACGATGAGACTGGTAAGGTAATAAAAATGAGATCAGCGAAACGAGCTCTTCCTTATTAAGATTCCTTTGTCTTACACAAGCACCCAGTAATGAAAAATGAATCTTCCTAGCACTCGCTTCTCAGCACTACATATGGGATATTTGCTGAACAAACAGCTGCCAAAAGCCAGAGGAAAGCATAGAAGGCTGTTACCGTCGGTGCAGTGCACAGGAATGAGAGATTTGATTAACGTTTTCTTTAATTCTTTGCTATTTAAATGCCTGTACAAAACTGGCCAGCAGGGCTAAGCCTCAATAAATACGGCACGTTGCAGAGCTGGCATAGACTGTCAGGTTTTTTTTTTCCTTAGGAAGCCAGTTCAAAACTTTACGTGTTTATTCTGCCCCTGGCCGGCAGGTCGGGGTTGCGTTGTGGCGGAGGACCCGATCCTGGGGTGCAGGCAGGGAACCCTGCCTCTGGCTTCTGCGGCGCCCGCAGCCCTGGCGTCGCCCCGGCACCCTTTTCCCTTCTGCTTCGGTTCACAAAATCAGGAGCCTGGGTCCCAAGGCTGGTGGGGATCTGACACATTTATTTTTGAACGCTCTGGTGTCAAAAGCGAATCATTATATGGGAAACTGGGAGCTCTTCTGGGGATGACAGAATGACAAGAAAATCCTCTTCTGACAGAAATTAGGCCAGTCTCTTTTCTGTCCCTGAAATGGAGTTGTCTTGGCTTTATTTGTGAGCTACCAGGAAAAGCATCCGAGCCACACTTTCATCCCTGGTCATGTGTTGCAGTGCATGTGTGGATTTTATTGTATAAATTATTTCAACTAGCATAATTCTAATCATGTTAATTGCTATGTAATCTTCGCTAATTATTGTTGTATGTCATTTGCTTTGGTGTGAATGGCATATTGCAGAACTCCGTTTGGCTCACGGAGATGCCTTCCGAGTTCTGCATCGGGCCCTGCGTTTGACTTTGGCTGGTGGAAAATCCTCTCCGCTGACGCGGAGGCAAGCAGCTGAGTTTTTCTCGGGGGCTGCTGCCTGCTCGTGGCCCTGCCTCCAGCGGCATCACCCAGCCCCGGGGCTGCCGGGGGCTATTCCAAGCCCTGGGAGTTACGGAGCAGCCCTTAGCCCGGGATCTGTGGGTGAGCAGAGGATGCTGCAGGATGGGACGGGAGCATCTCGCTTGAGCCCTGCCTTGTGAGGAGGCTGGAGCGTGGGCAAGAGCCGTGATTAGCCACTACACTCGGGGAGTGTGGGGATAGGACGAGGGGGAACGGGTTTAAACTGACAGAGGGGAGATTTAGGTGAGATCTATGGAAGAAATTCTCCCCTGTGAGGGGGGTGAGGCCCTGGCACAGGCTGCCCAGAGAAGCTGTGGCTGCCCCCTCCCTGGAAGGGTTCAAGGCCAGGTTGGACGGGGCTTTGGGCAACCTGGGCTGGGGGAAGGTGGCCCTGCCCGGGGCAGGGGGTGGCACTGGATGGGCTTTGAGGTCCCTTCCCACCCAAACCAGTCTGTGATTTTGGGGTGGGTTTTTGGTAGCCATCAGGGTAGTGTTAAAGGAACGAAGGATGAGGACGGGGCGCTGGTAGAGTCGGGGGGTGCAGCCGCGGTGGCACAGCTTGGCCGGTGACAGGGGACAGCAGCTCGGGCTCTCCGGCCACGGCAGCACCAGCTCCGGCCTCTGGGCTTGTTCCACCAGTTGCATGGGAGGAATTACCCTGTGGTCCTCCAGCTCCTTTGGCAGGAAGCAATGAGTTGAAACGGGGGGGGTGATTTCAGTGCAGCCGCGGCACCGACACCGCACGCGCTGGCCATGGGCGAGGAGCCGAGCCCGGAGAGATGCGGCTTCCCTGGGGGAACCAGCCCTTTCCCCGGCACCTGCGGCTGGGTTAATGAAGGTGACCGGTGGGAGAGACAAGGATGGATGGGGCGGTCTTGGGTGCCAGCAATCCTGGGGCAGGGAGAGCAGGGGCAGGAGATGCTCCGTTACGCAGCGGCTCCTGCTTGGAGCCCGGGGGGCTGCGGGGCCTCGTGCTCACCGTGGGAGCTGGAGGAACGATCCCGGGTTTGGAGCTTTCACTCCATTTCAGGCTCTGAAGGTTTTCACAAAAATAGTAACTGTCCGTCATGCTGAACAGGACAATAAATAGTGGCGTGTAAACTGTCCGTGTTCACAGACCATTAGTGCTTCTTACCTCTCCAGCTCACTTTTATCTCAGTCTTAAAAACCAAAGAAAAATTCTGAAGCTGGCTGTTTAATTTATGAAAGCTGGTCATGCAGCAGTCAGTTTACAGTTTTACTCAGAAACAGGGAGAGTGATTGGAGCAATTTCCCTACAAATTCTTACGGCAGGATTACACCAGCTACTTAGGCAAGACGCAATTTCGGATCCTAAAACCGGCATTATCGAAGTGTCTCAGACTCTTAACCAGCTGTGACGCTTCAGGAGGGTCAGGTGCGGTGGCGCGGGGTAGCCCTGGACGTTGCTGCATTTCAGAGAGATTAAACCTCCGGTTAAATTTATTTTGCATTGAATAATCGAATAGTTTCGTCTCGTTTGATGGGCTACGGGCACGTGGTAGGGCGGCGAGCGCCGGGGTCGGGCGGGCATCTCCATGCCCCGGGCAGTGCCGGCGGGCCCGGGGACCCGATACTGCTCCATGGCCCCATCACTTCTGCAGTCGCTCGCGTTTCCTGGCCAGGAGTTCGCCTTCAACCCCTCTCGGCATGTAAATTATTTCACGGGTCAGCAGAGCCTGGTCCGAACGGGTCCCGCGCGGTGGGGCTGGATTATCCGCGCTCAGCCCGTTCCCATGGCAACGCCAGCATTCCCGGGGCAGGATGCCTCATTACTGGCGATGTCAAACTTGACCACTGCTCCCGCACCTCAGCACCTGTGGGTCTCCCAGGGATGTATTTATATCTACGGTCTGCTGCTTTCCTCTACCCTTCGCTCTCTGTTCCCCTCCTCCTTTCTTCCCCAGACAAACTCACGCCCCGGCAGCCCCCTCGGTAAGGCCGGATCCAGGTCCCCCGTGGCTGAGCAGTGCCGGGGGTATCTGCGAGTGGGGACAATCCGCCGGCGGTGCCGGCACCTGCCAGCGCTGGGCACGGCCTTAGCCAGAGCGCGTGGCCCGCAGGCTCCCACGCTCCCCGTCTCACCGGCGAGCGGCTGCGCGCCAGCAGCCTATAGATAGTAACTGGCTATTGGTGATGCGCAGCGATGTGCCGAGGAGGGACGCGGCGCAGCTCTGCAGAGCTCTGCTTTGTTTCAGCCCTGTGCTGGCAAGGAGGCCCTTTGCCTTCCCCTACAGCAGGACGGGCACAAAATACAGGGGATTTTTTCGGGCCCTTCAAGACAACGTCAGCACTTGGGGGGGGGATGTAAAGTGTTACTTCGGGGGGCTTAGTGTCACCAGCGACACCGAGCCCACCGCTGGCTGCAGCCCCTCCCCGTCTCCGTGCATCAGCCGCAAGGAAGGGGACGGGCTTGGCGCAGAGAAGCCCTTTCTGCAGCCCTCACGTGCCCAGGTCCAGCCGCCTGAGAGGGGCTTCGGCGCAGAACAGGCGCCGCATCGGCATCCCGCGGTGCCTGGGGTGATGCTGCCAAGCTCCAGCCCTGGCAGAGCGGGTGCTCAGCACCACTGGGGAGGGACAGGCAGTGCCTGGGGGATGGCGGGACCACCGCCTGCTCCTGCCACCGTGTCCCCATCCCGCTCAGCAAGGGGCCTGAGCAGGGGTGGGAGCGGTGTCACCGCAGCGGTGCCAGAGCAGCTCTTGCGGCCCCAGGGAGAGGAGCAGGAGTTAAATCAGGGAAACCAGCTGGCGGGCAAGGCTCCTCCTGGGCATCAGCTCCTGGCAGGCTGGCACCATGCGCCGGCCCCAGCCACAGACCTGCTGAGTGCTGCTCTGCTCTCAGCACTGAGGGCCGTGCCATATTATAATAATAATTATTATTATTCCTGTTATTGTACTTTTCTGCTGCTCCACATACGCACTCTGCACAAGCTGCGGTCCCGGTAGCAGGACTCACACGCTGAGCTGATGCTGTTCCAAATCTGGCACCGTGTTCTGGCTACACCAGCCCTGCAGACTGCCGGGCGGGGGCTGCGGGTCCCGGGGACGGGGTGTGGTGGGGACAGTGACCCGTGTGGCTCCTCTTTGGCGAGCAGCAGAGCCCACACGGTCCCGGCGTCACCCTTGTTTGCAGGGTCAGGTCCCGTCCCCACGGGTGTTATTTACTTCTTGCAGTTCACAATTGTTTTCCCTCCCTAGCAGCAGCCTGGGTGAAACGCCCCACAATGATGTTAAGGTGCATTCGGGGGTCTCTGCGAGCTGGTTTCATAAAATTTTAGTGAATTATCTTTGGCTTTGATAGAAGTAAAGTAAATTCTACATAGTGCTATAATCTGCCAAGAAAAAAAATAAAGAACATTTGGAGGTACATGTTGGTTCAGCAGAGCCAAAGCCCCGCACACCCTACACCAAGGATTTAGCCAGGTTGGCTGAGCTGGAGTTATTTAGGATAAAATCTTTGGGCACTGCCCAAGTGCTCGGTGCGGCAGCAGCGGTTTATTCCGAGACTGCCATGCCAATACCAGCTTTTCGCTGCTCAGCTTTGTCCTTGCTGAACGGCATTACGGTCACTGGAAATCCTGCAGCTTAAACTAACGCCGATATCTCTTGTTTAGGGCGAGCAGAGACACCAAGGAACCAGCACCGAGCCGGCCGGCTTCTTCCCGGAGTGCTGCCAGGTCCGTCGATGCTGCGGATCTGGGGAGGATGCCGAGTCCCTTGCTCGGTGCTAGAAGATGGGAATATGGAAAACCTCCAGCAGACGAAGAGGAGCTGGAGAGCCCAAAAAAGCCTGTGGATAGGATAGGAGAGACGTCCCCGTCGGTGCTGCGGCGCGGGGGCTCCCCCGCCCCGGACAGGAGGTTCCCCAGCCCGCTGTCTCCGCGGGTGCCGAGGAGGAGGGGGCTCTCTCCGGCCGCAGGGCCGGTGCCCAGCTCATCGGCCGCCCTCTCTGAGTACGTGGAGGAGCTGCGGCGGCAGCGGGCAGTGGAGCGGGAGCAAGGGCACCCGGTGCTGGGTGATGACTCTCCCCTCCCCATTTACCGCACCACCGGTGCCGCAGCCCTGCGGCGCTGCCGGGCTTTCCCGGCGGCGGAGGATTCCCTGGGGAAGCTGGATGGGAATCGGCCAGGGGAAGGTGAAGGAGCAGGTGCCGGCCTCGTGCGCTCCTCCAGCCTGCGGAGCATGGCCTCAGAGCCGGCTCGCTCTCCAGTGCTGAAAAGAGCATCAAAGTTCGGCTCCTATGACTCCCTCCTGCAAAGCTTCGACGGCTCCAGCCGCCGGCCGAGCTCCCCGGCTGTGGGGATGGATGTGCTGGGCACGCCGCGAACGAGCTCCTGGAGAAGCTACTTGGAGCCGTCGATGGAAGACGTGGAGGTGGGAATGGGCTCCGGGGGGCTCCTGAGCTCGGCATCCAGTGAGGGGAAGGGGAGTGATCCCTTCAGCTGGCGAATACCCACCCTCAACTATGAGAGGAGAACCAACGTCGACTTTGACGACTTCCTCCCGGCCATTCGCAAATCCCGCTCCACCAGCAGCCTGGCCAAGCCCGGGAGGGACAGAAGGGACGGCCACCGGCCCCTCACCGTCCGCTTCGAGGATGAGGCCATAGCGGGCAGCTCAGCGTCTTCCGAGACGAAGGCCAAGCACAGCCCAGTCCCCCGGGAGGACCCTGGGGACCTCTCCGACTCCTCCTCATCCTCTGGCTCACTCGTCTCCTCCCGGAGCGCTGACAGCATCAAGCGCCGGCCGCAGCCCCAGAGAGGGGACGGGGAGGGGTGCAGCGGCAAAGCCGGCACCCAGGGCACCGGGGCAAGCCACCGGGCAGAGGCAGAAGGGAAGGAAGATGATGTCAACAGCATCATGAGGAAATATCTGGGAAAAGATTAAGGTAACCAAGCTCGGCTGACCGGCGGCTGGCTCAGAGCAGCGGTGGCAGGTTTTAGGCGCTGGCCCTCAGCCGCTGCCCCTCCAGCCCACACGGTGCCCGCACCGATGCCGTGGGGTGCGTGGGGACAGGGTGTCCGGGGCCAGCGGGGCTCCCCGCGCTCCCCCCTGTCACACCGGAGCAGCCCAGGGGAGGGGAGGCACTGGCCTGGCTTCAGGCCCAATGCCCGGCTGTGCTCCCCCCGCTGCGGCAGCCGGGACGGTGCCAGGGCTGCCCCGCGGGCTGTGCAGCACTGGGGACCAGCCCCCCCTTGCCCTCTCCTTGCCCCCTTTGGAGCTGCAGGGGGGTGGGCAATGGGGACGGTGCCGGGGACAGCCCCAGAGCCGGCCACACCACCAGCTCCGAGTCTACTGCATTCCCCGGCCTCCTAGTTTCCTGAAAATAGCGTTGCCCAGCTCCTACCAGGCAGGCGCATCCCCCCGAGCCCCGCTGAGCTGCCCCAGCTCGTTGGTTAATTTGGAATTTGCTTTGGCTGGGCGCGGGAGGTCACCCCCTCCAGAGGAGCGGGGTCCCGCCCGGGTCAGGCGAGCTTCCCCCAGTTAGCAACTGCCTCTGACACCCACTTGGAGCCAACGGCTGTATTGCAACCGACACTTCGAGAATTAGGATTTATTACTGCAATCCAGGTTTGAAAGCAAAGTCCCTAATGAATGCGCCGCAACTGTAATTAAGTGTTTAAAATAGATTAGAAAAAACATTTTGTAAAACCATTGCCTTTAGACTAACTTACTGGATGTCAAGCTGTGACCAAATTGACTAAGCCAACACAAGAAGGGAGCGCGTGTTAATAAAACATTTCTTTCCAGGAAGCACAATTTGCATAATGAAACGTCCCGCTTTCTCCAGACTTTGTTTCGATGAAGCGCAGCGCCTGGCCTCGGCGCTCCACCGAGCCAGGAGCCGCGGCCGGGCAATCTGCTTCCCCGATCCTCCGCCCCATCGGGGACGCGGCCTTTAAACGGAGACTTGAAAGCGGCTCCCCAAAAGTCATGGGATGGTTTTACAGATGATGAGACTTCTTTTGTTTTTAAATTAAACATACCGTGGTGTCTTTATGCTCCTGCCCTGTTCCCCACCGCCGCAGCTTTGCTCAGGGCCAGCCGCGGGGACGAGGGACTTCCTTGTTCTCCTGCAGTCGTTTGACTCGGGAGTTGGTGCTGTAATTAAAACCCAGCGGCTGCCACAGATGCCTCGTGACAAGCCACGCTGCCCGGGGGAAGGCCACGCTGCAAAGAGCTTCAGGAACACCAAACCTTTCGAAGCCAGAAGGCGCAGCCCGGATCTCTCATCCCACGCAGTGCTGCTCAGAAATCAGCCGAGCGGCCGAAGGATGCTTTTGGGTCTCGGCGTGACACCCAGCAACAGCGGAGTTGGCGGGTCAGCCAAACCGAGCTGCACGTTCCAGAAATCTCTCTTTATACGCTTTTATTTTTTTTCAGTTTCCAGGGGCTGAGACTTTCTCTGAAGCTTTTATAATTCCGCAGATACTTGAAGACAGATCTGTACGTGGTTTCAGAGCTCCTGCCCCTTGGGCACATCCCAGTGGCGTGCAAGGCAGCGCTGCGGCGCGTGTGGCAATGGGAGGCTGTAGTCGGATGTCTGCTTGGTTTTTACACAATAAAATATTTGCTTCTTTGACACAAGCCTCTTCTCTTTCCTTCCCCGCAGCAAGAGCAGGTCTGTGGGTGCAGTGTGGTGCAGAGTCCCACAGCTGGGGGGCTCCTCACCCGAGACCTTCCAGCCTCCCCATCTCTGTGCTCACAAAAAGCTCTTTTTTCAGCCTCAACCTTCCAAACTGACTCATTTATCAGAGGTTTGGGGCAAAATTATACTGGAACATGAACAAATCTCCCCTTCCCATCACTGATTTCTGAGTAATTTGCTCAGCTGGGAAATTTGCAGCAATGTGCACAACCTTGTTGGACCCTCCGGGGTGGCTGCAGCACAGGCGGCGGCTTGAAAAGGCAAATTGGGCAGTTTTGAGCATTTGGGGTTTTGCCTTTTGGATTCTTCTCATTCGTTTCTAATTCTTCTTACAGCAAGAGGCAGTTCCCTTGTCACAGATGAATGCAGAAGCCTCCGGAGGTGGGCTCGCAGCAGCGGTTTGCTCGGCGGCCCGGGGGCTGTCAGCAGCTCCCCGCCAGCCCCGCGCAGGGGACGGGAGGTGGCTCTGCGTGAGGGGACGTTGCCTGCGCGCCCAGGTCGCTCTTCTACAATGTGCCACTCCTGCAGGAAGACAGCAAAGGAAGAAATCACCTCTAATTAGTTTAAAATTGGCCTTTGTAATGATTCTGCTATTTCTAGAAACGAAAGGCAGTGGGGTTTGCAGGTCTCGCATGTCTCAGCACCACCACGCCGGCACACGCCCGCCGTGAGCCGCAGCCGGGTGCGAGTGGTTGGGGGGGTCGGATCCTGCCCCTTCTGCCTGGCAAAGCTGCTGTTCGGTGCCGGGGAGGTACCGCGGCGCTCGACCCCCGGGGTGGGTGGGTGGCCCTGGGCTGTGCATCGCACTGGGACACCCCGTGCCTGGCTCCTTGCTCCCCGGGTGGATTTCACGCTCCTTTGGGCAGGGACGCGCCTCTCCTGGGGTCGGACTCAGACCTCAACAGCAAGAAAAACACCTCAGACCAAGCCCCAGCATGGCCCAGCCAAGGGGACTCCTTCACCCACACCATCCCTGACCGGCCAGCGGTGGGTTCTGCTCCACGTGCAGTGGAAATAATTTATTTCGGATGTTTTTCCAGACACGTGCTTTGCTTCGGGCTGGCGTTGGCCCTGCAGCGTGCGCGCAGGGTCCCTGCAGAGCCGCCCCTTAGCGGCGCTTTCTGTGAGCAGTTCTGTCAGAGCTCGGTGAAACCCCGGTAAGAAAACCAGTGTACGGTTTGGGGCTTTTTAAAGCCTTTTTTTCACTTGAGACGGGCAAACTGCAGCGTGCTGTTGCCATCGTTGCAGTGCCTGCAATTTCACAAACTAAGCGCAAGGCATCTTCTCCCCAGTTCTCTCCACACAAAGTATGAACCTCAAAGGAAAAAAAAATCAGTTTACAGAAATCCTGTAGTCCCGTCTGTGCTTTCAGATGAAAAAAAGAAAAATCACAGACTGTGTCGCTTGGAAGAGATATCTTCATGGTCTGCCCTTCCAACTTGTCTGGAGTTTTTTAATAATATATTTGAACAAACAGTTCAGGGAAAAGATCTTGCAAAGCAGCGCCAGCTGAGCTGGGCAGGAATGGGAACATTTTCCCGATGAACTTCTCAGCCTGAGGGATGCTGAACCGGTCCTACCCCCCCCAAACGGCCACGGAAGGGCCACGGAGGGCGGGTGCCTGCGCAGGCAGGACCTCCCGCCCGTCTCCTGCCTCGGGGTGCGAGGCCGACGGGAGCAGGATTGGTGCTGGCTGTCCTGGGGGCTGTCAGCAGGGCCCAGCTTCGGGTCGGGGTGAGGAGGAAACCCCCGGGATCACCCGGGCACTGCTGCAGCTCTACCGAGCTCGTGTGTGCAATCACATCCAGCGCGGGTGGTTTATTGACTCTGATCCCATGTGCTGGCCCCAGCGGCAACTGCTTCATAAATGAAACCGGGACCAGCAGCTCCGGAGCCGGGCGATGCTCTTGGAGCCTCCGGAGAAATAAAACAGCTGGAAAAAAGATGTGGTGCGACTTCGGACAGATCCCTCCCTGCCTGCAGCCCCCCAGCCCCGGCAGCGCAGGATGCTCGGACTGAGGGGGGCGAAGGCTGGAGCCCCCCAGCTGCGGTGGATGTGGGGGTGAGCGGGGCAGGGGCTGGAGCACGTGGGGGCCAGCGCGCAGGGTGGGGGAGAGCAGCCACGGAGCTGTGAGGAATTCCTCCGTCTGTGTGTGCTGTGGGTAGGACTCGGTATTGTCCAACCGAGCGGGGCAAGTGGCTAATAATCCGATTAAACTTCAGCGGCAGCACTGATGGGGTGGGAACGCCGGGATCCCGCGGGCCTGGGCAGGCAGAGCGGGTCCGTCCCGCGGGAGGGGCGGGAAACGGGGGGTACGGGGCTGAAACGCAGCAAGGGGGACGTGGACCGGGGGGAAGGCGGACGTGGAGGCGTGGGCTCTGCGTGTGGGGGGACACCAGTGGGTGTCTGACCCACAAACCCGGGCTGGGTGGGGTGTTGGTTTGCAGTCCGGCTTTAATCCGATCTCCAAACGCAACATAAAGTGCTCGTTATTTGGTGGCTGTAGCAAAATGGTTCCATTGACACCGAGCCTTTGATTTGGAATGATGACAGCGGTGGGTTTGCTGAACATTAAGCTGTTACTATTTAAATTTGCAAGAGAAAAGGAGATTTGTGTGTAATACACTGACTTCTTTTTGTTGTTGTTTTCTTGTTTGTTTTTTTTTCCTTTTGCTTTGCAGGACGCAAAGGAAATTGCTCTGTCACTTGAAATGGCTTTCCACATCCTTTAACCACAAACCGGGGAAAACCGATGCTTGGACTGGAGCTTTTCAGCCTGAGTCCAGAGAATTATTTGCCCTTGAAGCAGCTGGAGCAGGAGAGGAGAGCAATGCTCATGGGCGGTGAGAAGGAGCCATCCATCAGCCCTGGCCAGCCATAAACACCGCACGTGTGCGGCGCGGGGTGTGAAAACGCCTGTTCCCCGCCCGCTCCCGTGTGCCCGGGAGACAAGTAACCGACGGCCGGGTCAGTCAGGTTTAGGACCGTGGCAGTTTATGGCCTGGAGTAGGAGGACAAGAGTTATTCTCCTCGCCCCCGTGTTCTAGCTGCGTTGCCCTGCTTTCGGGGATGCGCCAGTGGGGGCTTCGGGAAGGGCGCGGTGCCCGGGGCGGCGTTTGGCTGCGCAGGGGAAGTGTCTGCGCGTCAGACGGAGAAGCACCGAGCAACCCAGGCTGCCAAGCTACTAATGGGTGTAATTAAAGCATTAAAGCCCTCTTCTCTTCCCATGGATGCGCCTTTGGAGAGCCTTCACTGGAGGAACGGCCTCTGTAAAGAGCTCCTTCATTTGCAAGATGCTCGCCACTCAGGACGGAGTGTCCCAGGCCACCCAGGCCGGGCGATGCACCGTCCCTGCTGCGGGGAGGACAGGGGCTGGTGACCCCCCCATCTCCCCACCATCCCCCCGAACCGCCTTGGCAGGAGCTGGGCGCGGGGGAGACGCTCTGTGGTCCCCTCCAGCGCTCCCAGGGAGCCAGGGGACTCCATTTACATACTCCCAGGTTTCTTAGCCGGTATGTAATTTCTCTTTTCAAACAAATAAGCTGTTTTTCCCAGTGCCTGCACCTGGAAACTCCACTTCGAGTCATAACTCTGCTCAGTGGGACACGGCCTCACCGCGTCCCTCCTGGGGAGGGGACCCGGTGGAGCCCGCGGGGTTTCTCCTGCGGGCTGGGGACTCCGGCAGGCCGGGGGGGAGCGGGGAGCGGGGAGCCTCCCCTCTGCCTGAGCGGGCAGCTTCAGCTCCTGCCCTGCATGTGACGGGATTCGATTTCACGCCTATCGGATGCAGGGAGTTAATACCCGATGGCCGCCATGCACGAAGCCTCCCTGCCACTTAAATGTGTCCTTTCCAAAAGGGAGATATAATTGAAATTATTCTTCCTGCAGGCAGTTCAACAGGCGTGGAAGCCTCTTCTCGCTCTCCGCGGCGTTTGCCATTGTGGCTGGTCTCGTGGCCCGGCAGCTCCGACAGCAGCCAAGCCCACCTCCGCTACAGCGATTTGCTGGTGACCTTCAGTCTTCAGCTGGGGGTTTGCTCTGCGGAGAGGTGAGCCAGGTCTCTGTCAGCAGGGCAGAGCTGGGCGGAAAGCGGGAATCGCCCCGACGTGCCGAAGCGGTGCAGCCGTGGCCAACCCGCCCGTCCCTGGGGAGCAGGGATGGTGCCCCCATGTTGCGCGGGACCACTAAGGGTGACCCCAAGCCCCAGGTCCCCGATAGGATCGGAGCTGGCAGCGCCACCCTTACCCCTGCCCAGGGGCTCCTCCCAGTGCCCAGCACCCGTCCCAGTGCCCAGCACCCGTCCCAGTGCCCGTGCTTCTCGGTGGCCATCGCTGCTGGGACGGCAGCAGGATTTGTGCTCCCTGCCCGGCTCCCCGCTGCTGCCGGTCTCCCCAGCTCGGAGCTGAGCCACTGCAGAGTCAAGACCCATCTGTCAGACCTGGGGGGTTGTTTTACCGAACTGAATCGTATCCCTGCTGAAGTCCTGCCAGGTTTCCTACGCCAAGACGAGCCTGCCCGCTCCTCCAGCTGCGTGCCGTGCTCTGGCGAGAATCCCGGCGCGGCCAAGAGCACCCCGGCTCATGCGGTGAGTATTGAACCGCACCATGCACACGTGTGCCACTGCTCATGCATCGGGGAAATTCCCTGAACCCGGGACAAGGACCTGTAGGAAGAGCCGCTGTCTTTGGGCTGAGG